GAAAAATATGCTACTGTTTTCTCTTCTTTGTTTTCTTGTGGCTGTTTTAAGACTGCTCCTACTTGATGGAAAGCAGGTAAGTGTATATCACTGGATGGAAATATTTGAAAAAGAATGTGCAAGATTTGATATAGTAAAAGATGAAGAAAAAATTGAAATCTTCAGGCTGTTCCTAGAAAAATCATGCACTGATTGGTATTCCTCCATGATGATCAAGCTTAGTTTACAATCAGAGTGGTTGGAATGGAAATCAAACTTTTTGCAAACATACGCTAATAAAGCTTGGACTACTAGCAAGTACGCTTTATTTTTCAAGTACCAATCGGGATCTTTATTAGAATATGCTATAAAAAAAGAAAAACTTATGCTTGAAGTAAGAAAAACAATTGATGTAGGCACCGTTATTGATGTAATTGCTGCGGGCTTACCAGATTTTATAACAGATAGGATCAACAAGGAAGATATTATACCAACAAAAGACTTATTCAATCAACTCGGCAAACTAGAACATTACATTCGGCTCTAATGTGTCATTGATAAATTCAAGATTGCTAAAGATAAGCAATAAAGAATTAAGTTTTTCTAACAATACTAATTTAAAAACAATTAATGGCGTTAAAAAGGCTAAAGGCGTAGTAACACTTAATGTAACAATTTTTAATGTTGAGAAAAATATGGATGTCCTTGTAATAGACAAGGAAAATTTCGATTACGATTTTTTAATTGGACTAGATTGTATAAAAAAGTTTTACTTAATCCAAAATGAAAACTTAGAAATACATCAGAAAGTTCCTATACAAAGAAGTGAAATAGTTTCTAAGGAAACAAATAAAATTAAGGAAATAAAATCTGATAATTTAATAAATTTCAACGAAAACTTCAGTGTAGAGAACTTCAAAATTTGTATAAATCATCTAGACTATCAAAAACAAGCAGTAATCGATGTCTTAATATTGAACAATAAATCTGTTTTTGCAAAGGACAAATATGACATCGGAACGGTAACGGATTATGAAGCACATATTGATCTCATAGTAGAAAAATATTGCAGTAAAAAGCCATATCGTTGCACCATTGAAGATAAAAAGGAGATAGAAAATCAGATTGTTGGAAAAAAATATAATAGAAGAATCATATAGTCCGTTTGCAGCTCCTGTTACATTAGCTTACAAAAGAGATGAAAATAAAAAATCAAGACTGTGCATAGATTTTCGTGACCTAACTAAAATTGTTGTTCCTCAATCACATCCGTTTCCACTTATTGAAGACCTAATAGTAAAAACAAGAGATTGCAAATTTTTCTCAACATTGGACCTGAATTCAGCATTTTGGTCAATACCTCTGCGTGTCACAGACAGATACAAAACTGCATTCGTCACACAGGAAGGTCACTTTCAATGGACATGTTTACCATTCGGCCTAAAAACCTCGCCAGCAATATTCCAGAGAATAATGTGTAATGTTATACGAAAACATAAGCTCGGAGAATTCACCGTAAGTTACATCGATGACATCTTTAGTGTTCTCAAAAACTTTCTCAGATCATATCGGGCATTTAAAACAGTTATTTCAAGCAATTAAAAGTGAAGGTTTTAGACTGAAATTTTCTAAATGCACATTTGTAGCAGATTCAGTCAAATACCTGGGTCACATAATACAGAATAATTCAGTTAGACCTCTAAAAGACAACCTGATATCAATAAAAAACTTCCCTACTCCAAAAACGCAAAAAAAATGTGAGACAATTTTTAGGAAAAATAAACTTTAATCACAAGTATGTGCCAAACATAGCAATAAAATTAGAACCATTGCATAACCTTTTAAGAAAAGGACAAATCTTTAACTGGACTAAGGCATGCCAAGAGTAATTTGATGAAATGAAAGAAATATTATGTTCTCAAGCAATATTAACCATTTTTGATCCTAACTTGCCAATTCACATATACACAGATGCCGTATACAGTATACAGGGAGTAGGAGCAGTCTTAAAACAGCCACAAGAAAACAAAGAAGAGAAACCAGTAGCATATTTTTCAAAAAAAATTGAACGAAGTTCAAAAAAAGGAAAAAAGCTATATATCTCGAATGCTTAGCAATTAAAGAATGTGTAAAGTATTGGCAACATATGTTGATAGGTAGGAAATTCACTGTCTTCTCCGATCACAAGCCTTTGGAAAATATGAATATAAAGTCGAGAACGGATGAAGAATGAGGAGATCTAACATACTACCTATCACAATATGATTTCCAAATTAAATACTCTCCAGGAAGATATAACATTGAAGCTGATTGTCTAAGAAGGAACCCAGTCTTAGAACCAAATGAAAACCTGGATGAACAATTAAAAGTGGTTAACATGATTAAACTAGAAGATATCCTAAAAGATCAAGTTAAAAATGAAAATATACAGTGCAATAAAGAAAAATTATTAAAAAAAAAATTATGTTTATTATAAGAAAGTTAAGAAAAGAGAAAAAATAATTCTATCAGAGAAATTTAGTATAGGATTAATCAAAAGTGTACATACCGACCTAGGTCATTTAGGAATTAATCAAATGCAAAGAATGATTAGCTCATTGTATACAGCAGAAAACATGACAAAAAACATAAAAAGTATCTGCGAAAGTTGTAAAGTATGTATAAAGAATAAGTCCAGAGGACAAAACAAATATGGATTGATGTTCCAATTGGGTCCCGCTACAAAACCTTTTGAGATATGTTCCATTGATACCATTGGAGGCTTTGGGGGTTCAAGGTCGACAAAGAGATACTTGCACCTGCTATCAGATCATTTCACTAGGTACGCATCCATTTCAACATCAAGTACTCAAAACGCAAATGATTTCATCAAACTAGTGAAAAATTGTGCAGAAACTGACGGCATGATTCTCTCAGACCAATATCCAGGTATAAATTCTAAGGAATTCAAAAGATTTTTGGATGAAAAAAACATTCCAATAATTTTTACTGCAGTGAATTCGCCCTTCTCAAATGGTTTAAACGAAAGATTAAATCAAACGTTGGTCAATAAAATAAGATGTAAGATAAACGAAAAAGACACTAAAATTGCATGGGCAACTATAGCACAAATGTGTGTAAAAAAATATAATGAAACGGAGCACACTGTCACTGGTTATGCTCCAAAGTATCTTTTAAACGGCACAGATGTTGCAATTCTGCCTAATGAACTAAAACGTAAGAAGACCGAGCAAGATCTCATCCAAAACAGGAAAAAGGCTCTGGTAAATACAATGAAATCACATAATGTAATTACAAGAAAATTTACGATAAAAATCGAAGACATATAGAATTCAAAGTTGGTGATGCTGTTTTTGTGGACAATGGAAACAAATTGAATAGAAAAAAGCTTGATGAACTAAGAATCGGACCCTACAAAATTATAGAAAAAATCTCAACATCAATTTACAAGATAAACACTGACTGTAAGAAATTAGAGTCAAACTATTTCCATGTCTCGAAACTAAAGGCCCATTTACACGATGCCATTTTCTTGTACATACAAGAGCAATAATTGAATGCAATAAGTTGCACGCAATAATTGACCATCAAGAATTGTAAGCAACAGTTTACAGATATAGTAAAAAAAATTGAATGCGATTATTGTATGCAAGTCTTGACAGGAAATAATTGCAAAGGTCTTTTGTTTACACCAATGCAATTATGTTTAGGCGATTATTGCTTTCAAGTTTTGACTTGTCTAAACACATGCTTGTATGTGCGTGTACAATTTATTGGCGTGTTGCTTCAAGTATTGCACGTATTTACGTTGACAAATTTTTCATGCAATTGTTGAACGTTTTACAAGGGCTGTTTTTTTAAAAAAATGGCTCAATAATAAGTGTTCAAGTTAGATTATGCCGATTAAATATATTTAATTGAGATTTATTTATTATGATCCATATATTATTCTTCATATTTTTATCCAACTTTTTTTACGACCTTTTCTCAATATTTCTATCCTCAAAAGAACAGCAATGATTAAATACCCTCACTCATTGCACAAATTTTTGCCAAGGAAGAGAGAATGCAATTGAATACAAGAATTGCTTAAGAAATTATTGTGTGTGCTGTTTACACCAAGGAAAGTTTTGAAACAAAACTTGAAGCAAGTCTTGTTCAACAGGCAAGAATGTTATGTGCTGTTTAGACCATGCAACTCATTTATTGCTTCAATTTAATTGTATACTATAGGCAAGAAACTTGCACCGTGTAAATGGGCCTTAACTCCTTGCTATGCTTGAGAGACCATAAAGAGGATGTGTGGGTAGTCGTTGTTGTATGTTTTATCTTCTCTGGGAGGGGGAGATGTAAAGAAAAATATTATTTTCTTTTATGTAAATATTTTCTTTAATTGAAATATTTTCGCACACCGGCCGTTGATAAAATTTATTTTAGAAACTATGTTTGACGCCGGATTATAACTGAAAAAAGAATTAAGCTGTCATAGAAACAATTCATCAAAATAATCTTATTACAAAAATATTTAATAAGTAAAATAGTGATTTAGGAATCGACATTGTGATTATTAACATTAAATGTCGTTTCTTTACTTACAGGTAAAGTTTTAATAGTAATATATTTTATTTTTGTTATTTTAATTATTATTTATGTAATAGTTTCAAAATCCTACAATAAATCTTTACTTACAGAGAAACTCAATTGTGTTTTGATTGCTGTGTCATCCTAATCACTGAAAAATATTCTTATATATATAAAATAATCATAAAATAATATTTTCAGTTGATTTTCAGTCACTCATTTTCAGTAACCTGTTTGGTTTTAAACCTAAAATCTTCTCACAATGCAGAGACTAAACAAGCATAAAGTTTACAAAAAATGTCAGACCAAAATAGACTGCAAAGATAAACTATGTTTTAGAAATTAACGTAGACGATAATGGTTAAAACAAAATATCTTCTTACAAATTTCCATACAATTAAATCTCTTGCAACCAAAGAAAACGCTCGATCTCGTAAGTTATGCCGTATGGTGTGGTGAGAATATACTGGGAGACCACCGTGAGTGCAGTCGTGACGTCACGCGTCCCCAAGGCGACGTGATGCTGTCCCTATCCAACATATTGGAATTGTAAACCGTTGAAGTGGCGTAAATGAAACTAGCCTGTAGACTAGGGAGCGCCTTCGACTTCGGATACGATCGAGCGAATTTAGTTTAATATAGTATTCATGTTTAAGCTAAGATTTTTATAGACCAGGTTAACTCTAAAGATTTTTGTTTGACTACACTAAAGCCTGGTTTCTCAAACACTGATCATCGTAGGTGTCAACTAATCAGCTGTCAAATGAATTTTCAAATTTAATTGCCAAAAGGATGGTTAAACTCTCTGAATTGACCAAAATGATCTTCTTAATAATCCGAATGATCAATTCAAAGAGTTTAACTTTCCTTTTGGCAACTAAAATGAAATTTGAAAAGCCATTTTACGGCTGATTTTTTTCTCTGTCTTTACTTTTGCCAATTTAATTAAAATAATATAAAAAGAATATTATTGCTATAACACTAGCATAACGCATAGCGTTAAGTTCTTGTTGCAGGCTTACGAGTATAAGGATGAAGTATAAGAACCAATAAACAAAAATAACATGGTACTTTGTAAGATAACTATGGTAAAGAAAAGTTTACTTATTACATCGTATATATCTTTATAACGTGTACCGAAAACACGTTCTTACTGTAAACAAAACTGTAAGATAAAATGAGTTATCGTCCTAAAATGTGATCCGATAGCGAGCAACTAAACATGTATCGGAGAGTCGATGGGTTACAGTTCCAACCTCGCGTACGGACTGACAGATCTAGCCGTGTTTGTTTATGTCCAGTAGGAAGTCTGTCCATCCCATTTGCGGACGGCGCTCGCCATTGCGGCCGCGTCCGGTGGACTTTTTGTGTGCCCGGGATCGTTCCAGCACCGCTTGTATGGCGTTATGCTCTTTGAAATTCTCAAAGACCGCATTAGGAGTCGCCCGGCGTATGGACATTTACATACGGCCGCTTGCTTACGGCCGCGGCTTCGCGTGGCTCTTTTCTATAATAAATGTCGACTTTGACAAAATATATTCTGTATGTAAATATCGGATTGACCCTCTTAGTTATACCTTTACCTGCGCTGTTAAATTTTACGTATTATTATTTATTTACGTATATTTTTAAAGTATCCAATGCGCTAACAGAGGGCTGCATGCTATGCCTTTGATTTTTTTTCTATGCCTTTGATTTTTTTTAATCCGTTCAGAAGTTAACTGCATGAAGAGAGAACACATACAAACTTCCGCAAATGTTATTATGATTCACCATACATTTATATTACAACTTATTCTGAACGGGTGAGATAAACCGTCTAACATTCAATAAACCCTTGTAATGTATCGATATGCTATGAAAAAATCGATTTGTTTCCAAAAATAGACTCCGTTGGCGGCCTGTGGCTTAAATATTGGTTGTGGCACAGCATGTCGTGGGTTCTATAAAAACAAAACTATTTATGAACAATATAATAATTAATTGTTCCGGATTTCGGTATTTGTCAAAGCTCGAATAAAGCAAAAAAAATAACTTTATGATATTTCTACTCTGTATATTTAAAAGAAAAAAAGTCCTTTTAAAATATAACGATGTATTGATCTATATTTTCAAAGTAAATCGTGATTTAAAATGCATTCGGGTACATTCGGGTACGGTTAAATGACATTAGAACCAACGGGAGCTTTAACGCAAATTTTATTCTTGTGATTTTTTGTGCTTTTCGAACTTGCTTTGAGCACTGTAGTGAACTTAAGTGGGCTGCTAGCTAAGCGCTCTGTTGCAAAACAGACGCAAAACGATAAAAAAAAGATCGCGCGTCAGGCAACGTCCTTGACAGAGGTCTGGTCGAACTTGAAACCGCACGAATGGCTGTCTCAAAAGTCAATCATGACTTAGACTCGGAATTACGCTAAAATGAATAGTGTTTTACGATCTTCGCTGAGTTAGAACTATTGTAGTTGGAATCGTGACGAGGTTTAGTTCAACTAATTTGAATAAATAAATTGTGACATTCATATGTGAAAAGTTTATTCTGTTGAAGGTTAAAGCTTTATTTATCTGAGCGTAGGATGATAACGTTTGTCTTCTGAGTACAAAGACTGAAAAGGACATATTATAATGTTGCGGTCAACTATAAAAGGCTAACGTCGAAACATAAACGGAACGTTTTGAACCAATGACCTTGTTCAAGTCGAAAACGCGAAATATCTTTGCAATTGGCACATAGCGTGGTAGAAAAAGTAAATTATTATAAGACAAAACATGCCACTTTTCCCGCGCAAATAATTGTCAAATTCGTATTTAGATAGTGATTCCATCGAATTGAACCACATGACATCATCAACACTGGCACGTAACACAGCAAAAAAGGTTACATTTCCCGCTCAATAAACTTAAATCATTTAAAATGGCGGTCGCCACTACGGCCGATGTATAACACATTTCCCGCTCAAAAAAATTAAATAATTTAAAATGGCGGTCGCCAACTCGCCACTACGGCCGCTGTATAAGCGCATATAAGATCCAATATGGCGCTAAGCAGCCCGTTTACACCGAAGCGGTGTTATAAAAGCCCATTAACACATAAACGCGAATAAGACAAACGATCGAGGCGACAGATTTATGGGCGCGAGCCGACGTCCGTTCAGACGACCACATTAAATGTCATTATTAAAATACGATGATCAGTTCGCAACGAGAAGGTAATGGAACAAATAAATCGTTACGGCGATAGCCATGACGAAATCGTGGTTAAACCGTTTAACGGAAAAAATAGGTACATTATTTTAATAGCCATAAGATAGAAGATAGACGGATCCATATGCGTAATTTTAATTTTATATCGGTCATAAGTCCGTAACTGGCTTCACAGTTATAAATTTGCAGTGAAAACTTTATCTTACACCTCACGATTCCTCAGGTTTTTGGAGACTATAAGTGAAGGTTTCTTTGTAGTTCATCAGTTTTATTTAAAAAGCTAACAAAAAAGAAAAGATAAGAATATACAAATAAGAATAAACAAAAGATAAGATAAGAATATTTATATTTTGAATGTTTTTGCACCTACCTCAAAATCTCGGTACCACCCTAAGGTTGACTGGTAGAAAATGCTGTCAGCATTAAGTCCGCCTATGTACAGAGTTATGAGCATGAAGTCTTAAAATAAATGAATAAATAAAAGAATTATGAAGAACAACGAAGACATTTATAAATTTTACGAATTTTATCGAGTTTTAATTTTGGATTTTTAACTCCCTACGTTTGGAAGCCTACTCGGCACGCGGGACGAGAAAAAATCCGTTAAATATTTTCATTTAACATTTATAAAATTCGCGTAAAAACAAAAACTCAATATGGAATAATGTAATTAATACGTCACATAAGGTGACGTGCTACTTATGAGGTAACCAGCACTTTATTTCTTATCTCCTTATCCAAAACCGCATATTTTATTCATTCATGTATCAATATAATAATAACCTATATCCGTGGTTGTATAAGCTATAATTATACCGTTCATGTTTTGTCCTTTAATATCCAAACGATAGTAAAATTATTAAATACTATTCAATGAAATACTAGCTTCGAATGCAAATGCGACCAAATCGAATGAAACGGATTGATTCTGATAAGAAATAAACCGCGCATATAACTCCAAAACATTCTCATCGATACAGAGGGAATAGAATTGGCAAACAGATACAGAGACCACTTGAACAGACGTATTAAATAGATGCGCCATACATGGGAGAGACAATAAGGATGATAATATTAAAGTTGCGAGTTTGCATCGCTGTGATATCAATTGACCTCTTCGTCTCAACTGCATTCTGATTGCAAATCAATCACGCTGTGGCTACGTGAGAACCTAAATATATACAAACGTACGCATATTTGTTGTAAGTAGATAGACAGAGATGAACATGCTATATATAATAGTACTACAGAGGTGACAAAACAAAATGTGACAGTTTTATGGCTCTCTTGTAAGTTGTTAAGGGATATACTTGAGAGATGAAAGTCTCGGGTTGGATTTCTATCGGGGAGAATAATTATTAAAACTGTTCTGGATCTGGTAACTGATATAACACTGGTGATTAAATGTGAAATCCGTAGAGTTATTTGGCTAGTTTTATTAAATATACTTTGACCATCCTTTTCTATATTGACGAATTTTAACAAAAAATTTAAAGAATGAATACAGTTTCAGGACACAGATTTATGAAAGATTTATAATAGATGAGCAACGCTGTAACAAGCAATTCAGACATACTGACTTTATGCGAATCTATTAGTCAAATGAGCTATCCACTAAAATAGTTTTCTATGGATGCCCAACGTTTGTAAATGGAAGCTAACCATTTACAAACAGTTTTTATAGTCACTGGCTAACAAAAATTAACGCATCCTTCACTTTGTTACGCACCCTCAAACGGCGTACATATACGAAACTAAAGCATCATTGTTATTCCGCATGCAATCGACAAATGCGGACTTTATTAAATCCATCTATAAGTAAAATACATACATATTTACGGAGAGAGCGTGGACCTTAGTGCGTTGGACGTGTGAACGATCTGTCCCCCCCATTTGTCGCATCCGTCGTTTAATAAATCGGACGATATATGGCCCCGTGGCAGCCCCAACGGACTAAAGATGGGGCGGCCCTTTCACGAGAAATTGTATTCACACGCCTAAATACACGGGTTGAATCGTTAATAACAATGTCACTGTCCACCGTATCGAGAACAAGCTTGGTGTTTGGATTAATTACTTAAATAAACCGCATTGTTATGTCGGCTTCACCACCGGAGGTCGTGGGTTCGATTCCACAGATAATTCTTCCGGATCTTGGTGCTGTTCCTAAGGAAGAGTGATGAGCCAAAATCATTAACAACATGATTCACATGTGTTTTGCCCCAACTATTTGGGATAAGAGCAGGAGAAAGAATGAAAGGATGATAACATAAATTACTTTGAACAGTGCCAATGGTGGATCTAACCCGAAGAATAGTCAACAAAAAGCTCTCAAATCTTAACCATAACTACCTACGTAGAAAAATAAAGATTGTAAATTTTAAAACAATCGGTTTTTAGTAGCAGTCGCTATCTATCTATCCTATCCGAAGGTAGCCGGGGCACACTTTATTAAATGGTGGCAACGAATCTGCTTCATATGGTTATATGGGCTTTGCGATTGTCCATAAGCGGCGGTTATCACTTAACGCCAATCGCCAAAGCCGAGTCGCCAGCTCGCTTGCTACCTTCTCACATAAAAAAACTTTTCAGACGCTCGATCAAGTCGTCAGATCAGCCGTAAGAAGGCGCGTCGTAGCTTTTCCCGCCGTGCGGTTCGCACGCGGGGACGGGGCCGTAAACAAAGCACATAACAAGAGCCGCGTGGAGGCGAGAAGGGATCGTCGATTGGACTGTCGATTTATCGACTGCGCCGCGAGCGTATTTTACGCGTGCGATTTGCATACGACCGATGAAATAACATCCGCCCCGTCGCGTATCCACTCCGAGATGAGATACGCACATGGCTCGTTCAACAATCAATTTGAGGAAAATAAATACGCCTTCGATTTGCGCTGTGCGTGTGCCGCGGTGTAATCGTTGAGTATTTCAAACGAGGCAGATGAACGTAGCCATTAATATTTAAGCAGGAAAACAATTACAACTTGTAGAAAATAGACGAAAAGTTTTTCGCCGCTACAAGTATTTGGACCTGCGTACCCCTGGACGTAAACACATTTTTTTATAGGGTAAGGTAACCAATCAAGCGGTTAACGCGAGGGCAGGAGATCACTGCCGCCCGTGACGCGGATCAGAGTGGTGATGGTTCGGGCATTCATGGTAAGCCTGCAGTAATAAAATTCGTAATGCATCACAATACTAACGAAGTGATTAAAGTTCACGTTTCACCGAGATCTTGAAGTTAAAAAAGTAGCGAAGAGCAATTTATATGTACCGCTTCTTTGCTACCTACACTTTGTGAGGCAGATTACTGCATATATCCGCCCTGGTGCCTACCATGCCATAAAGTTTGTTGGTGGGCCTCTCAATTCTTCGGACGTGTTGCTTTTGAGGACACTGGACTTAATATCCTTGCATGTTACAAGAACTGGTTAAAGAGAGCGATGTCTAAAGCGGCTATCCTGCACAATCGCCTCCCATGGACGGGCCCATCAATAACACAGCAGGCCTACGTGGGCGATTCGCCCAACAAACATTGACCCCGCCTCATTTGTCACCAGGCTCGCACCGGAGATGTCCCTCGTCGTACACTTCCTCCCGCGTCTCCAAACCGTTCAATCTATTTTACGCAACCAACAAGGGAATCCCATAAATACTTATTTTAAACAACATAAGTTTCTAAAACATTGCTAGAACAGCCAATAGTTTCACGGCAAATGTGCAACTTTAATTTTTTTCATTTATTGCAACCATCTTAGAATAGGGTTAAATATTTACTTAACTGCGTTTAGCCATTCAATTCTGGTGGCCCGAAGTTTAGAGTTAAAGACATATAGTATTCCGATATATCAACAATATATAAAACATATTGTGCGGACATGTTCATAAAGATAAACTTCTATTATCCATATACAATAAATATTAACAGAATATATTAACATGACAAACACTTTACGTGGTTAATTTTGTGAACATAAAGAACAAATAGGTTCCAGTCGCGATCTATGCTTGCGTGTGTGTGTGTGTGTGTGTCATGTAGTGTCATATAGCTATAAAAATCGGTCGTCTTTTTATTTTGTGCATACATAATGTACAAAATAGCAAATTACAAGAATATTTTTAAATGGATTTAAATTTTTAAATGAGATTTTAAAGCTATCGAGCACAAACTGCAACCTACTCGTGTATTTGCGGGGTTTGATTCTAATATTGTTATATATTTTTAGTAAACTCCTTGCAAAGATTGTTCGTATACCAATTTTGTGTGGAAAGCAGACAAAACAGAAGTATTCCTAAGGTCGGAGATAAAAAAGCGATTTGCTTTATTGTCTGGCGAAACCGCAGACGCGGTCGCAAAAACATCCACTGAACAATGAAAGCATATTTTTTGCCTGTCCACTGTCCTAATCGCTTGCTTGCTCGGGACCGTCGCAAAAAGTAACGATGTTGGTGATACGTTACGCTCCAGTAAACTATCGGTTGTGGTATTTCCGAAAAACAGCGCGATTAGTGGACGATAAGCTGCCTCACCACTTACTGACCTGGAACAAACAGAGGAGATGGATTAGGTTCTTGCAGATTTCATAACAAAAACTAAGTCTATTAATGACTGTCTGGGGTAGGGCCGCGCAGCAGCCTAGGCGTTTGCACGAATGGACCGGCTAGTGAAGTGGAAGAATAATAATTTCGCATTTCATCTGGTGAGTGAGGTAGCCGGGGCCCAATTTTCAAAAGGTTTTCAACGCATCTGCAACCCTTGGGTGTAGCAAATGTCACTTAACATCAGGTAACCACCTGCTCGCTAGGCAACTTTTCACATAAAAAAAAACAGGACTACAACAACATAGTGCTCAGGATATTGGAACATATTGATACACATACAGAACATATTGACATCATTTTGATATTGGAACCTAATATAACATGTCCTTTATTAATAGCAGTAGAATATTGTGAAGATCCATTGATCGAATCCCTCTCAATATTAATTATTCAAAATGATATCAATACAAAAGAAACATGAAATGAATACGAAATAAACAACACAATCCGGATATCCATGATCATATCAGTCACGACGATATAAATTTCAATGTACACGTCTTCAACACGACATGATTACAAACGTGGTACTTTTTAACAAATACATATAATCACCAGTTAGTCCTCCTCGGTCGTGTATTAATTCAAATTATTTCACACAACTCTTCACACACACTTCGATGACACCGTGGCGCATTTGCCAAGGTATTGGCTTCAACGTCGAGGGTCGTGGGTTCGATTCCCACACGGGACAGCTATTTGTGTGACCCACCCATAGTTGTTTCGCACCTGGGTGTTTGTCCGCGTGAATATGTTTGTAAAACGTCCTTACAACACAGGATAATGTTTTCCTAAAGTGAGGGCAATGTTTTATTAAAAAAAAAATAACTCTACTGGATTATCGCTTCGATATTTTCCCGATATGTTCATGTCATGACGTGACATAACATCGTGAACCTCCTTGAGAAACGTTAAATATTTTAATATTAAGTTATATAATTCCCGAGCGCGACCTTAAGATAATCTCTAGACTTGTTAAGAAAGAAAGCGCCCTGTTAGCCTTTTCCTCGACACAGTCATGATTTACTTTTTATTTACGCTTTCAGTTCTAATATTTATGCTTTTAGATTTTTGTGTGGTAGGGCCACGCAGCAGCCTCGGCTGTTGCACGAATGTGCAGGCTCGTCCGGGAAAGTACCACGACCTCGCAGAAGACCGGCCTGAAATGGAAGTATAATACTTTCGCGTTTCGTCAGGTGAGTGAGGTAGCCGAATTTTGAAAAGGTTGTCAACACAATGTGTTCATCATGTGGTCATCTGATAGGTTGCAGATGCAAGCCTCGGGTGTATCAGATATAATAATAGTGTTTTCCTGTGCTCAGCGGAGCACTTGATAAGTTAACACTTAAAATTTTAATTACAACAGTTTCCTCGAGTAAAATATTGAATTAAAACCGAGCGTCCGGACACTGAGCTATCACATCTAATAAATAATCGTGCAAATGTGAATTTCCAACATATTCTGTTTCAAACTGTTAAAGCGGCAGTTAGAGATATAAATGCGCCATTAAACTTCCAACATAAAATACTTTACAAACAAACATACCGAAACATGCTACAAAAATCTATGCTGATATGGCATGTATGTGTCGAATAAGAAACTTTCCGTGTCCTAGTTTTCAACTTAGTCATTGTCTTTTTGCGATTTAAATAAATTCAATTTCAATTTAAAAATAGGCTGAGAACAATAATTATGAACTAGCTGTTATCCACGACTTCACCCGCGCGGCCAAAGGGAATTAAAAATGAGCTTTTTATTATACACTTCTTAGTTGACACTTATCATTACCTATATTTAGTACAATTCACACAATATCTTTATATATTATAGCCTATGTGTTATTCTGATCTATAAGCTATATTATTGTAAAGGTTCATTAAAATCTATTCAGTAGTTTTTGTGTGAAATAGTAACAAACATCCATACATAATACAAACTTTCGCCTTTATAATATTAGTACCTTACGGTGGTAGGGTCTAGGTGGGTAGTCTGCTCGTTTGGGAACTTTTCACATAAAAAAAACAAAAAAAGCGACTCGATCCTCACTACTACTGGAATTTTTTTCTATAATAATAATAAAATATAGCCTATCATTACCAACGTATTAATAAAACGTATGTTAACATACATGAGACGCCTGTAATACATTCCGCAGTATGTGTGTGTAACATCATATATAAAAACTGCTAAAACCAACAGGCGGAAAATCAGCTTTAGTAAAATTCAGGCCATGTTTTTTCGCCCCGGCTCTCGGTCTATTACGAGAACCGTATAATAGTTTCCGACTTACAAACAGACAAAATATGAAGCTTTGTACAAATATAAATCTCTGCCGGCATCGTTTACTTTCGGTTTACAATAAGGAGGGTTTTTTTCGATATTCTCAGTAAGTCTTTCAAAAAAATGCCCCACTGAGTTTCTTTCGTCGGTTCTTCACGGGTCAGGCTTTCTTTCCGAACCGCTAGTAGTGTTTTCTGACAGTCAATAAGTAATTGTAATGCTTCTATGCTGAATAAAGAAATTTGAGTTCTTCAACTTTACACCAATCTTCTAATAGGCCATTAATTAATTTGTCATAATTTGTAAAATGTTCATTAAAGTATAAGTAACGATTTTGTTGCATTTAGACCTACAGATATAGATTGGCACTCAAAAGTGTGGAAGGAAGGGTTATAGAAAGCAGTAATCCCTGGGCGAATTACTATTCAATAATATTCTCAATTTAAGCTCTTATTAAATGTCAAAAAACTACCACCGGTTCACTAAACTAGACCTGTCCTGAGAAAAACCGGCAAGAAACTGTGCGGTCTTGTTAAATTATTTTTTTTATTATATGTACGGGTGCAATGTAGGTATTTTACATATAAACCTTCTTCGTGACAGTCTATCTGGTAAAACAAAACGCGTCAAGATCCCTTACGTACTTTTAAAGATCTAAGCATACATAGGGACAGATAGACAGCGGGACAACTTTGTTTTATACTATGTAGTGAAGTTGACAAACTTACTTAAGTGTGATTTAACTAAGGTAACTAGGTACTACGAGGTACTACGACGTACTACGAGGTACTACGAGTGGCAGGGTCTATAGTGGGCAAAACCAGGGGATAGGTTATCCTTTGAAGGTGCCGAAAAGGCTGAAACATTCGTCTACTGCCTTGCACTTTATATACGGCGTTCAGGACACACGCCATCTTGATATGGGCATGTGGTCGACTACGCATTTGTAATACGGAAGGGACATGGTATGACAACATTCCTTTAACATTGTGTCACACCAAAGCACTTAACGCAATCGCATACTGAACAG